AGTACCATCAATAGATTGGCGCAACGGAAACAGGCAAATAAACTTGAGTCGGCGTATTTTCTTCACGATCGTTTAGCAACAATCTGGTCTTGTGTATCTGGTGGACTGCCGCCTTTTCTTATTGGCCATCATCAACTTGAATTAGTTCCGCGTCATATTGTTCCGACGATGTATAAATTACCGAGCACGGGATGTTTCAAATCATGACACATGAAGACTGCTCTGTATTTGTTTGAAATTCAATTGCTATGTTATATTTAAACAAGTAAATTGTAATCCGTTCTGAGGATGTTTATATCAGTTGTTGTTTTGTGGGATTAGCGGTACAGGGGGAAAGATAAGCATTCATTTACTCAGTGGACAGAGGCGGAGTTAATTACCCATGAGCACTTGGTGCAATCCAAAAGATTGAGCGGTTCCCCTTTAAAGTAATTATCCCCTGCTGCAACAGATAATGTCTGTTGTCTCCCAATAAAACACATTTTGCAACACAATTTAACATAGTTACATTGCTAACACGCTCATTAACAAGACTATGTATATATTCTACCTTGTTTCAGGGCACATAAGTAACAAACCATGCAATTCTCACTAGAGGTCAATTTGAAAGCATCTGGGGAGATTACCCAAAATCCTCAATATAGGTCAGTTTTCGTCGACTGTCTTCGGTTCAAAAAAAAATGTTTGTTGAGAAAGGCATTATATATGTACATAGTTTGTATCTCTCTATTCCTATGCTAATATTGATTTTCATAAAGAAAAAAGAAAATGTGTGGTATGTATTAAGAATGAAGAATGAACACTTCATAATTTTCACTTTATAGCTTACAGCGGAAGATCTTACTAAATGAATGTATACACACACATATAAACAATTTTATCATGGAAAGCCAGAACACTATGATCCATATATCACTGGTAACATTTATTAAAATCAGTTTTAAGAACACCATGGCGCATGGTCATGAACTTCACCAGTTAACTGAAAAAATATTTTATTTTAGCTGGAAATTATTTTGGCTGTTTTGTAGAAAGTTTATTTTACTTGATTTTTAATGAGTTTAATGTAAAATTTTAAAAAACTGTTTTTTTCACTAGATTTTATTTTAACTGCTTCATCCCTTCAGCAAAAATAAGTTCAAAATGAAATCAAAGTATTTTTTATTCTTGCTTCATTTCATTAGAATAGATAAAGATTAAAATTTTATCCTCATTTTTTTGTTTCAAAATTTTTGTACAATTATTATGAAAAAAATGGTTAAAAATTTGTGTACTATTTTTATGAGAATCCATGTTAAAATATATCATAATCATAATAAATAAATATTGTTCATATTATTTTCTTAAAATTCGTGGCAACTACTATACGGCATGTGTACATTGAGTCATCTACTTGGACGTACATGGATTCTATTTATTTTGGAAATTACTGTCAAAACATTACCGCTAATCTCCCACTTGTAATGAAACTTACCGGGTACACTTATAAATGGATTCTTTGTAATACTAGTATTATTGTTATTGTCTGTGTTATTATACCCCTCGTTTGTCATGTCTATAAGCTCCACGTCTGTATGGAAAATGACGGTTGGCCACGTCTATGTGAATAATGAGGTTGCATTGTAATGTGCAGCTGATGTGTTTATGTATTCTTTAATGACAAGATTATTTCATGGATGTGATGTCTTGTCGTTTCTTTTATCCCCCAAGCTGTGATTACCTGCCCAAAGCTAACTGAATATTGATATTTCTGTTAGCTTGTACATTTCATTCACCTGCATGAAGCAAGCGGAATTG